CGTCGTCGTCGTCGTCGTCGTCGTCGTCGCCGCCGCCGTCGTCGTCGTCGTCGTCGTCGTTGTCGTGGTCGCTCATCGTCGTCGTGCGCGCGGACGCTGTGGTGGCGCCGGAACTGCACGGCGGGCGGGGGCATTACGTTATGCCCACCGCCTGGCCCCCCCGCCCCCCCACAACGCCCGTTGTCGCCGCGAATAAACAAACGCGCTCAAAATCTTGCTCCGGAAGATTAAACGTGGGGCGGATACGGAGTCAGGGCCTTTTCCTATGCGACCACGGTTGTGCGGTCTGGCTCGACCACGGCTATCCTTGTGGGCTGGCCGTGGACGACCGACCACGGCCCGTGAGCGAATAAGATGCCCGTATTCGTGGTCTCGCGGGCCGGGCCCCTGGGCTGCGACCCCGCGGATGCGGAGCGTTTTTCTTTGCGGGTACTCCGCGCGGAACGTTTCCGTGCGACCGCGTATCCGCGGGATCGCGCCCCAGAATCCAGACCGCGAGGGTGCGGATACGGATATGTTTGCCGCTCGCGCACGGCGAATCTGGAGTCAGGGCCTCCTGAGCGACCACGGTGCGGGCCTGCCCGACCACGTCCACCTTTTTCCGTAGCAGATCGTGGGAGCCTCGTATGTCCTCGCAGTTCCGTTTTCAGAGTGCGCCAGCGTCGATTGGCGTCTGGTGACCGATGGGGAAGCGCCGATTTAGTGCCGACTGGCGTCGATTCAGCGAAGACTTAGCGTCGACTCTGCGCCGACTGGCGTCGGTTAGCCTCGGTCAGCGTCGATTCCGATTCGCAAGAGCCAGCAGCATGGCGGGCGAGGTTCCCACGAGTTGCCGCCGAACCCTCTTGGGGTGGCCATTGCCAAACGACCACGGCCGCCCCACCCTCTCTCGGGGGCAACGATAGGGGGGATCGGCATAGGGGGGGACGCATCGACCCCCAATCGCCCATTGGTCGCCGATACGGGCCCGATGGCTCCAACCCGCCCGGGAAGGCGCGACTTCGCCATCGGGGGCCTACTCGCCGCTCTCTGGACGAAGCACCGCCGATTCCAGGCCGATGCGTTGCCCCCCTGTGCCAGCCCCCTGCTATTTTCCGGGCCAGAGCTCGGGCCTCCGGCCGCCGTTCGGGACGACCCGGGCACCTTCGCAACGCTCTCGGCGAGGCGCAGCCGCTGGAGGGCCTCCCGAGGCTGGAGCGCCGCCGAGAGACCACGAAAGCGCACGAAAACTTCGAACCTCGAGCCGGTCCCCCCACATCGTGGCCCCCCCTCCCCCCCCACGGCCTCCTCGATGCCATGAGCACCGCCGGCGCCCGCGGGCCGCCGCGCCCCCGCGCCGCCACGCGCGCGCTGCTCCTCGTGGCGGCCCTGGCGGCGCGCGCGGCCGCCGCGGAGGGCGGCCCGGCCGGCGGCGGCGCCGCGCGGTGCACGGGCGCCTCGGAGCCTGCGCGGGGCGAGGACCTCGCTCCGAGGCGGGCATTTGTACATGACCACCGCCTGGAGGATCAATTTTCGGGGACCTCGGCAGGCGGCGGATGAAGATATATTCGGGCCCCCGGGGGGCCAAAATATATCCATATCCACCGCCCGCTGGGGCACCAGGACTTCGGTTCACAGGCGGTGGATATGGATAAATCCCCGCCTCGCATCTCACCTTCGGTGGCAAATCTCGAAGAAGAAAAAGTGCCATAAATATAAACTGTTGGCGCTCCGCACGGATTTCTTGGATCCGCGCAGAGGCCCCCCTGGCGGCGCCTCCGGCGCCGCCTCTGGCGCGCTCCTCGCGCCAGGGAGGGGGGTCCAGCGCAGATCGAAGAAATCCGCGCCGAGTGCCACAAGTTTATGTTTATAGCGTTTTCTATTTCTAGAGTCTGGAGGCGAAAACCCACCCCCATCGATCCCCAGTTCCGACTCCCATCCCCGAGCCGGCGATTCAAGGGGTCGGGGCTCGGGGTGGGGGCGTTTTCTCTTTTCTTGCACCCCGAAAGACCACCCCCACCCCCAGTCCCGACCCCCTGGATCGCGGGTTCGGGGATGGGGTCAGGACCGGGGGTGGGGGTGTCTCACTCAGAGGAGGAAAAGGTGCCCATACCATACCTCTACCCTTGGCCCGTTTTCCCCCTTTTTGCGCCTCCTTGGGGGCCCTCGTCGCCACCGCCGGATTCGCCTCGAAGTCCTGTCCAGAACGCACCCCGGGCGAGGTCCGGGGAGTAGCAGTATTGGTGCCTTTTGGTTTCCCCACTCACCGAGCGCGCTCCACTGCGGTCGGACCGAGGTGTAAGATCGAGGGCGGTTTGGGGAGCGTGCCTTACCGTTTTTTGTGCTTGTGGAATGCTCCTGTGAATCCTGGGGGAGGGTGAGGGTGCTCACGAAGGTTCTTCGGCTTGGCCGGCGGAGGGTCTCGTGTTCTTGAAGGACGTTCTTCTGTCCTCGGTCCGGGCGTACTTGCAAAGTACCTACTCGCGAACGTCAGGAAGAAACGCATGTTTGCTTCAACGGAAGGGATCGTGAATGCCCTGCGGCGGATCCAGGCCGCTTGCGAGTGGGGCGCACCTGTCCACTTCAGGCGAGGCCAAACTCGGCGGCGAGCGAGGGGGGGAGTGAGAAGGAGAAGGCCTTCTCAGAAGGCGGCGGGACTTCTCAGAAGCCCTCGCGCCTTCTGAGAGGTTTTTCTGTCTTCGGAGAAGGCTTGGAACACTTTTCAGAAGGCCAGGGGACTTCCGAGTCTTCTGAGAAGGCCCGCCCCTTCTCACTTCCCCCCGTGCGCGCCGCCGACAAACGTGCCCCACAATAGACGTACATCCCCGGAGAGGTGGCCTCAGCAGGGCCCACCTCGAAGCGCCCAGCGGCTGCGTTGGGGCATCCACGGTGGCTGGGGCCGTGGCCGCTGCGGCACCTCACTGGGGGTACGTTGCATTGGGGGTACGTTTCAGTCGGGCCTGTCCCTCCACAGGGGGAGTATTCAAAATAGTCCATTCGAATATATTTGACTATTTTTTATTTTTCGTCCAAAATCCGCCTGTAGGGGGACATGCCCGACTTAAGGATACGTTTAGCCCTTCTCGAACTCTATGCTGCCCAAGTGGGGTGCGAGTAGATGGGATTGCGCCGCATCGTCCATGCACAGCCGATGCATCGCTGGTGCGGCTCGATGTGGAGCCCCACTTTCTCCACGTCGACGTCGCCAATCCATCGCCGATGTCGACGATGCATCGCCGATACATCGGCGATGCGGCGCGATCCTTCGACCCCATCTACTCGGACCCCATTTAGGAGGCCTCTAAGAACAGACCGAGACGGTTGAAGATTTCAAAAATGAGACACCAGCGACCGAATTAGAAAGTACCAAATCCCCCCTCCACCTCTTGGCCTCAACATTGGCAAGTATTGCGTTCGAGGTGTTGGGTTCAATATGGGGCTGTTTCTCCTGGAACGCTTGTTCAATATGAAGGCCTACGTGGTGGAGGGGGATCATGCGAAGTGGTTCCTCAGCGCTTGCTGCATGTTGTGTTCCTTCAACAGTATCGTTGCCCTGCCCTCGTTTTTCACCTTTCTGGGCCTGCTGTGGGAGCTCCACATTCAAAACAATCACCAGGCGAGTTGCCCTGATTAGGAACGTGTAGTAGCAATCAGTCGCGCTCTGGGTGCCTCTTGGAGGTATCTTGAAGCCATCGTTGGGCCCTCTTGGAGCCGTTTTGGGGCGCCTTTGGGGCTCGCTTGGGGCTCGCTTGGGGCTTCCTTGGGGCCCACTTGGAGGCCTTGGGAGCCTTCTTGGGGCAACATTGAAGGTCGTCGATCACGATCAAAGAATGGGGATTCTTCACTGCGGTCCCATCGGAGGCTGAAAAGTTGCCTCTTGGGGACCCTCTTGGGGCGCTCTTTGGCCATCTTGGAGCCATCTTCACGCCTCCAGAGCCGATCGGAAGCGAAAGGGCGAGAAGACAACACATGTCAGCTGCCCTCAGGTGTTGGAAGGATTTGGGAGTCTTTGAGGCGTCCTTGGGAGGCCTGGATGGCGTTTGGAACCATCTTAGGGCGGTTTCGAAATCTGTTAGAGGCATGCTGGAAGCTATGCTGAACAATCCTGGGCTATCTCAGGCGACATTGCAAGGCATCTTGAGCTATCTAGGGCCCTCTTGGAACCATCTTGTGGCATCTTGGACGCTCCAGACCGTCGAGGCCCTCCCCATCCAGGCCCATGGGGGAGGGGGGGAGGGGGAAGAGTCAAGACAACCCCCCAAAGGACGGCCGTCTCGCTCACTCCGACCTGTCCTCCCACCACTTAGAGGAGCACCCGAGTCTCCGCATGGGCAGGGGCTGCCATCGAGAATCATCGCGAACCAATGCAGACGCCAGCCAGGTGCGCGACGCCCACGACGTGCGCCGCGCGTGCCAAGGCACCCGCATCGTCCCCGTCGACAATCACTGCGAAGTTATTTCAGGGCGCCCGTGCGTGATCAGTGGCTTGCCGCAAAGTGTGCTTCGCACTGTTTTGTGACAGGGATGGTGGGTCTTTGAACAGCAAGCAATATGCCGGCACCCCTTCGCCCCTGCCAATAAAGTCAAACGTGATCGTTGTTGGCTTCTACGCATGATCCAGATGTGGCCGCAAAGTGCATGTTGTATCATTCCTAACAGGGATGGTGGGGGGGGCGATCATGGTTTCGGGTTTGCCTCCGGTCAGGGGGAAGGGGGTGTATATTGATAAGGAACAGTGAGGAGCCCCTCCCCGAAGGGGAAGACAGAGGTTAGCAGAACGAACTGCCTAAACCATCTCCGCCCAGAGGGCTGTTGGGACTCCACCAGTTGCGACCAGTGTTCAAGAATCCCCGCTGTGGGCAAGCGGCGATGATTCAATGCGGAACGATCCACGCGGTGTCAGAAACCAACGCTCACGGCATCGCGATTTGAACCCGACTTGAACCCGCCGTAGCGGTATTGGTATTTTGTCGTTACCCAAGGACAGCGACTTCACCTCCTTGTTGGCGACGAGACGCGGAAGGAAAGACCTTCTCTCCAGCGGTGGTTTGCGGCCGACGTACGCCACTGGTGTTCACCACAAGACGGTCCCCACGCTGCAGTCCGACGATGAGTTCGCGAATGATTTCGTCACAGACAGCCAGCCTGAGGGGCCGATGCACCAGCCACCGTCGCTCCCAGCGAGCAATGAGACGGAGGACGCCGCCAGCGTGGTGGACGACACCCCTAGCGGCACCACGGAAGCCACTGGTGGTGCCACGGACGCCTCCAGCACGGGGGGCGACACCATAGGCAATCTGGCGAATGATACGCTCGACAGCGCCACGGACGCCATCGATAGCGCCGTGGATGCCGCAAACGGCACTCTGAGCAACGCCATGGACGCTGTGAGCGGCGCTCTGGACTGGCTGACGGACGCCCTAGCATCCGCCACCGCGAACGACTCGAGCAAGGTTGCCAGCACCAGTGACGCAGTCAGCACCAGCGGGAAGCCCGAAACAAGCGTGTCAGACAGCGTTAGCGTTGATGCTGGCAACGAGCCAGAGCAGGCCACTGACACGAGCCGGCCTTTAATCAGCCAGGGTGCTGCAATTTGCTTGTTGTTGTTCGCCTTGGTTGCTGCGGGTGGAGTTGTCTTCTTGATGATGAGGACTCTGGACTGACCATATTGCTGTATGTCTTTGGCGAGCGCCTGACCAAAGGGTCGAATCGAATAGATCATGCTCTCACAGCGGTAGGAATGCCAGGCTCATGCTAGTACGGGGTCGTAGCGCCGGTAAGCGACAGGAAGGCAGGAAGGATAATTGCTAAGCTGCAGCGTTATTCTGCATTTATCCGTCGCTGGGCAAATTGCCCTCCGTCTCTGTCAGCCCTGCCACATGACTCGCTGCTCACTTTGCGCGCACTGTTTTTTTTGGCTGGGCCAACGACGACGAGCCTCTCAGCAGGTCGTGCGCGAGGAGGAGGAGTGGGAGGCGGCTGACCCCGTTGCCTTCCTCTCCTCCTCCCTTCCCAGCATTCCGTTCCCGGGGGGCCCAACACCTCCAAAGCGGAGGTCCCCCGCTGGAGGCTGGCACCTCTGGGGCCGAGGTGAAACCCTTGGGGGCGTACAGTGGGGGCCCATGCCAAGAAACACCCTGCTTGCCTCCAGGGTGCCCTGGGTTTCTTGGGTTTCGATGGCTTTGCCATGGAAAGCGTGACTTGGCCATACCAAAAATCAATTGGCGTCCTGGGGTCTCAGGGTTGGGTTTCTGGTGGAAAGCTCCTTGTGGACTGGCCTCCGCTGTACTCCTTCTGGACTTGGCCTCTCCTGGTGGCCTGGTGGGCTCTTGAAGCTAAAATCTCAATTTCGAAGGTTTTCGGCCCTCTGGTTCTCGGACCCTCAGCTTCACGCGTTGCGCGGGCGTCGCGCCCCGGCGCGCCTTTCAGTGCTGCTCGGGGCGGAGCGCGCGAACTGCTCTCCAGAGCCGACGGGGCCGCTTCGCGAACGGGCATTCTCCATCCCTCCTTTTCCTCCTCGTGCCGTTGGTCCTCCTGGTAACCTTCCTCCTCTTGTTCCTCTTTCTCCTTTCCCTCCCTCCTCATCATTGCCACCTTCCGTCCATTCTCAGATTCACATGTATCGTCTTTCTCTGCCTCCTCCTCCTCATCCTTCCTCCTCCTCCTCCTCCTCCTCCTTCTCTCCCTTCCTTCCCCCCCTCCTCTCCGTTTTCTGCTGGCGCGCTCGTTTGCTCCCCGTCCTTTCCTTTTCCCACATAATTTTATCCTCCGCCACACCTTGCTCCTACGCCTCTTCCTAGAAGGCTTGAGAGAAACGCGGTGGCGGGCTAAAGCATTACATTCAGCCCGGTAGGAAAGCTCCCCACAACGGCCTCTCCTTCCTCCCCCTCCTCCTGCTCCTCCTCCTCCACCTCCTCCTCATCCTCTTACTCCTCTTCCTCCTCCTCCTCCTCCTCCTCCTCCTCCTCCTCCTCCCGCTTCTCTCCCTCTTCTCCTCGTCGTTCTCCTCTTCTGCCTCCTCCTCCTCCGCCTCCTCCTCCTCCTCCTTTCTCCTTCGGCGTACTGGCCCTCCTCCCCCCTCCTATTCCTCCTCCTCATCCTCCTCATCATCACCACCACCATCATCATCATCGGCAGCATCAGCATCAGCATCAGCATCAGCATCAGTATCATACTCATCACGCTCACCACACTCATCATGATCATCATCATCAGCAGCAGCAACATCATCATCATCATCATCATCATCATCATCATCATCATCATCATCATCATCATCATCATCATCATCATCACACCACCACCATCATCATCATCATCACCATCACAATCACCATCATTATCATCAGCATCACATCAGCATCGCCAGCGTTATCATCATCATCATCATCATCATCATCATCATCATCAACATCAACATCAGCATCATCACCAGCATCATCAACATCAGCATCATCATCATCACTATCACCATTACCATCATCATCATCATCATCATCATCATCATCATCATCATCAGCATCATCATCATCATCATCATCATCGTCATCGTCATCGTCATCGTCATCGTCAGCGGCAGCATCATCGTCATTGTCACCATCATCATGTTGCTCTTCTCACCCTTCGCGTCCTCCTTCCCTCCTCACCTTCCTTCTCTCCCTTCTCCTTCTCCTCCTCCTCCTCCTCCTCCTCAACTGCGCTCTGCGCTCCCTCCAGCACGGCGCCTACTGCGCCGTTGTTTCTCTGCGCTCGCTGCCGAGAACTTGAGCTCTTGACGCTGCTCCATGTCCTGCACACTGGCCAGAGCACCACCAACTGCACCCCAACGACCAACCCGCGAGGCGGCGAGCTCGCCAACGCCCCGACGCGCGCCCCGACCAGCCCGCCGACCAGCTCACCGACCCATGCCCTGACCAGCACTTCCGCCAGCTTACCGACCGCCGCCCCTCCACGTCCAGCACAACGACCTCGGCCACGATTGCGAGGACGCCGCCGCAACATCCGAACTCACATTGCAGCGCACCGACCACGGACCAGCCTTGCGATCAACCGCTTGCTCCACAGCGCCCCGGCGGTATCCAGCAATGCGAAATCGAGCGCATTCATGTTACGATGGAGTTCAGCACCGGATCGGTACCCAACACAGCGGAATTTGGCGCTACCATTTCCCCCGCCACAATGGAGATGAGCCCCAAGTCGCTATCCAGGGCCATGAAGTCGAGCGCGGCCGTGTTATCCAACACGACGGAGCTGAACACCACGCCGCTATTCAGCATTCCAGCGCGCACACGTCAGCCACGCACGGCGCGTTCTTGGAGCATCATTGTCTGAGCACTGCGGCGAACCCCCCCGCGCCGCATTACGAGGCCGCATACTTTGCATCGCTCGGACGCGTGCATTTTTTCCTCGGCAAGGGCCATCAAGGTGAAGTGTCGTTTACCTTGCGAAAAAGTGCACGCACGAAACCGAACAATCCACAGGGAATAGACGTCCGAGCGATGGCGAACATGGGGAGATGCAGCGCGATCGACCCCTCCTTGTTTTTTTCCTCCCGCTCTCGCTCCCCCCCAGATGCTGTAGTTGTCGCTCGTGGAAGGCTGGTGGTTCTCGCCGGTACCTTTTCCCTCCTCTTCTCTCTCGCCGCCGCTGCCGACGCCGCTTGATTCTCTCTGCTCCGTCCTCCTCTCCTCTGTGCACGCGCAGTTTATTTCAACACGATGTCTCATTCGTTTGTGCCTCGCTGACCTGGCACTGGCTCGCTGGCGGCAGCCGCCTTTCGATTACACCATTCGGCAGGGGTGGTTTCTCCTTGTCGGTTTGTCTCCTCCTGAACCTGCTCAAGCATTTCGTCCGCAATTCGTTCCGCATGCGTGCGCGAGGCGGTGGAACCGTCCATGGTGTTGTGCGCGCACATAGGCTTTGAACATCTCTCGTTGCTTGATCTGTTTTTGTCCATTATCCTTGCTCCCTGGTCGCTCGTTCCTTCCTTCTCCCCTCCTCTGTTTCTATTAATTTGCTGCATCGCAGCTCGACGGCTAAATCCGGCTCAGGACCTGTACAGTGTACATGCGGCTTGCGGCATTCGCCACTCGTCTGGGGAGCACTTCGCCCCAGGGTCATGCTTACTCCACCCTCTGTCGTCACCCAGAGGCTGCTTGTTTGCGTGGGCTTTGTTGTGAAAGCATGAGTGTATGTGACCTGCTGCAGGCCAGCGCGACTTCGCGCAGAGTGCGCATGGCGGCCGACTCGTTCCTGCTAGGTGCCAGGTCCGATCCGCTCGCTCGCATGCCTGCCCACTTTCAACATGCAGCTCGGACGCACCTCCAGAGCACGCGGGCGCAGATAGCGCAGATCGCTAAAGCACGCCTTGTGGACGCAGCCCGCGCTTGGGTGTCGACGGATGGGGGTTTGCTTCCGCGGTGCTTACCCAGAGAGCTTGAGAGTCATTGAGGTCGGGGCTCACGAGACGGGAGCCAATGCAAACAGGGGTCAGTCAGAGCGCCGGATCTTGCATGATCCTGCAGAGCCAGGGGTGTATTGATCCGGGCTTGGGTGCAGGATCCTTTTAGGATCTTGCAGGATCTTGCAGGATCCTTCAAAGCCTGACTGACCCGGGTCTCTACTGACCCGGGTCAATACAGACCGGCGGAATTCCGCGGTTGCCGCTGTCACAAGAAATCTTTCGAGTGGCGCCCCGCCGATCATTGATGCGGCGCGGCAACGCCGGCTTGCGCGATTGCATTGGGACCCCACGGGCGCCCCTGAAGCCGCGCACCAAAGGTCACTCTGGCCTAGGGTCATTCTTCCGTGTAGTCGACAGCAGATCCCCGACGAGGGTCTCCTGGTCCGCCCAGAGACGTTTTTGCTTGTCCCCCCGCTGCACCCTGCGCGACGCCAGTCGTCTGCTGCGTGCGAGATGCCCCGTCTGCCAGGGCACCCCACGACGGACGGCGCCACCCCGCGCGGCGCGCTGGGACGCTTCCAGCCTGCCCTGAAGCGGCCGCCCGCGAGGAGAGGGACGAAGGCGGATTCGGCGGACGAGTGCCTATTCGGTCCCCTCCCTGCGGCACCTTACATACCCCACTTGTTTGACGAAGCCCTGTTCGACCAGGATGAGAACTTGCGGACGAGAGCGGGATTGCTCATCTGAGTTCTCGGGCCCCGGACTGACCACGGGCTCGGAGAGATCGGCCACTCACTTGATTCCTGCACGCAGCGGCGTCAACCACAGGAGCGCGCACAGCGCTCGCATGCAGTTTCCTCGCCCCTTCGGCGTCGAAAAGCGGTCCCCCTCCCCAGCTTCAATTGTCCGACCCTGCTCGCTCGTGGCCAGGTGGTCTGTGCTGCCCATTCCGTGCCGCCACCTGCTCCATCGACCAATCGCCGTGCCTCGCGTACCGCTTGTGCGAGTGCTGCACTCGGCGATATGGGCCCAAGGTTCCGTCGAACAAGTCGCAGCTCAGCCGCCCCTGGAGGCCAATGCAGCACCGCAGCGGTACACCACGAGAAGAGTCGCATATACATATATATAATATATATACACATATATACATTATCATACGCACCTCTCCGAGGGAGGAGAGCTCAGAGGCGATTAATTGAAGGCCGCGCCGCGTCACTTTTCTGACCGTTTCGCTAGTGACATCCTGGAAATCGATGGCACTCCTCACGCAGATCGTGACGTCAGGGTCCAAAAACACATGATAATTTCAACATTCTAACATAAAACCTCCAAACACACAATGTAATTTCAATGATTTTGACCCCGATTCTCAAAGAATGGCGGTTTCGCCTGAGACATCCTCAGAAAATCGAGCCCCGACGTACCTTCGGTACTCCAGACCCCGCCTCGGAGCCTCCTGGGGGCCTCCTGGAACCTCCTAGTGCCTCCTGGGCCTCCTTGGGCCTGCGGTCTCTTGGTCGGGCCGCCTGGAGCCTCTTGCGGCCTCCATGGACATCCTCGCAACTTCGAGCCCAGACGTACCCTCCTCCTGGAGCCTCTTGCGGCCTCCTGGTCGGGCCTCCTGAGGCCTCCATGGACATCCTCGCAACCTCGATCCCAGACGAGCCCTCCTGGGGCCTCCTGGGGCCTCCTGGAATATCTTCCAGCATCCTGGTCGGGCCTCCTGAGGCTTCCTGGGGGCCCGTGGTACACACATCCAGGCTTCGGAACAAATTAGCGAACACTCATGCCAAATTCATCTGTCAACGCCTTCCCCCCCCCAATGTTCAAAATTGGTGGTGGGTCTGATGAGATGCACTTCGACCGCAGTGTTTTCCGCGCGTGCCAACATTGAGTTGGGAGGAGAGGGAGTGTTCAGTAATTGTTTCCTTCTACCGTCGCAAGGTGTGGCAACCCCGCTTGCGCTCGAGTGCGACCCCGCTATTGTATGAGCCTGGGCACACGTGTCACTTGTGTGTACATATATATATATATATATATGTATGTATGTATGTATATATATATATATATATATATATATATATCCTTTTTATATTTTTGCAATCGGGGGGGGTAGGACCCCCCCGCCCCCCCGG